CCCCAAACAAAACAGCTAAAAATAAGTGATTAAAGGTTATTAAGGTAATTAAAGCCAAATCTTTGGAATTAACAAAAATGCAGTTTTTCTGACCATGAAGTATAACTGAGTTTGTCTATGAGAATGTAAATTAAATAAACCTACTTCAACTAGAATGCAGTGTGCAATTATGAGTGTTCGATGATTAACTTATTAAATAATTGATAAAATATTTAATTGCAGACAAATTATTAGCCACAGCTCTAAGTTTATCCGTCACATCTTTTTCTAATCCCTTATTCTGGGACTTTTTTTTAAACTAAAGAAATGACAACATGAAATGAAAAAACACTTAAATGGTCTAAGTAACTGCATGACAACTGAAGGTGAAGAACTTTGGTGCTTGGATGAGCACTACAACCAGCAGGCCTATCAACATCTTTCAGGCAGCAGAGCACGGCGACTCTGTCATGTATGACATTTCCAATCATGAAGTGCATGCATCCACACAACGACGTGCACAGTAATTTATCCCGTGTCCTCTATCTGCTATTTCAATGTTCAGGCCTGCAGCAAGAAGAGAAGGACAAAATCACTGTACTCACTCCAGATAGAGTCTGTAACGTGTGAAGGGTTCTATGGGCATTTGGTCCTTTGTTAGATTAATCTGCCTATAACATCTGTCTAATGTCTCAACCGTTTGTCCTTGGCAATACATGACGCCAGTGCTAGAAGACAATGACGCAGGCCACTGTTTAAATGGTTTTTAGAGCTCAGAGGAGAGTTTGAAAAAAAATATATACATATACACAGTATATATATATTATTTATTATTTATTCTTGGTAAAATTTTAGCTATTTCAATGCTACAAATACATTCAAGGGGTTATGAGAGTATTTCTGGTCAACTTCAGTACCTCTTTCTGCATCAAATAACTTTAGCCTAAATTAGCTGTTAATCTGTAATCTTTTTTATTGTTATTGTTTGTTTGTTCTCTAACCTTCACTTTCTTTTTAGGATTTCGAGGAAACCTGAGCCTCTTTTACTCATGGGAACTATTAATGTAGTATTTTGACTAATTTTCAACCAGTTTCAACTTTTTCTCATGTGGAAATCTTCTAGTGCTTATTGGACACAGTTTAGCTTTTTTGTTGTTGTTGTTGTTTGTTTTTCGTTGGCTTAATTTGCTGTATAATGGGCTCGTTATTTTTTTATATTTTTACATTTTTGTTAAACATTTTCTATTTGTTTTCTATAGTTTTTTTTTAGAATACCTAATAAGATTTTTTTTACACTATAATCCTAATAATATAAGGATTTTGCAGGCAGCAGAACTCCCCTTCTCACCTGAGAGGTTCAGTAAAATGCAGGGAATCATTTGCCGTAGGGGAGTAAAAGTCAAATACACATACAATGTCTGGGTGTGTAATATCACGTGTCATGCACAGACGTACAGACACACACTTTTTTGCAGATCAGCAGCATCGCAGCTGTTTCTCAGGGCCTGTGGGAGAATTTGACATTGTACAGTTGAAGACAGTGTGAAGTGAGGGCTGACCTGAGTGTGTGGAGGCTAAACGGAGGGACTCCTCGGGGGAGCTGCTTGTTCTCCATGGCCCCCTTTTAGATTGGACAACTCCAGTGACGCAGGGAGATTAATGAAGCTACACTCACACTGGAATCCCTACAGGACACACAACAAAGAGTGTACACTTGATTTTGGAAGCCATGCCATTTACCCACACTGATGAGAACGGGATCAGTCCCACATCATCATCATCATCATCATCATCATCATCATCATCATGACTGAGAACATGGCTGGCAGCAGAGACAAAAGCAGAAAAAGGGAAATAACTTAACAAAACACGTCACTGCACATTGACTAATCCCCCTTCATGTGGGGGTTCTGATCTTGAAATAAGTAATTCAGGTGCAAAGCAGTAAAAATTAATATGCTACTGATCACATGACAATGTGTATGTATCAGTCACAAAGTTAACACACACACTCGATCCCCTTCTGAACGTGAACAAACCAGTGTGAACAAAATGTATCATAATATTTTCTCTTTCAGTTTCATTTTCATGACAAGTGTTCTAAACTCACTGTAAATGGATCTGGAATTTAAAATAACACAATGCAGGTAAAAATGCATTTTCCATACAAACATTTTTGGATCCAAACTGCATTTGCGTCAGAAAAAAAAAAGTCTAAAGTGAGACACACTTATTTGTTATGTTGTTACCATGTATGCTGAATGGCAGCTAGTGGACATGCACACGCATATTATAAAGTTTAAATTTCCTCCATCAAAGTAAACAGGTCTAGCCTTGAAAGTCCTCATATTTAACCAGGACACGCACAAACTCAGGGGGTTCAGGTGAATAGAAACAGGATTGCAATGAAACTCACTCTGTTTAAAGATGCAACACTGACCCAGTGTGGCAACAACAGGGTATCACATCACTCTGCAACAAGAAATGCAAAGATGGCCACTTTATATAGTTTGTACGTTGGACTTACTCTTGGGGAGTTGCTACTTCTCTTGCCGTACACGAAGACGAACGTCAGTTCAGTCCACGGCTGTCCTTCTTTGTTAAATGGCTACCATGGTATAAAAACAAAAAATAAAAATAAAAGTCTATATATTTAAAGCGACGCAGTTAAACTGTCAAGTGTTGCTGTTTGTCAGTTACTCATGAATTGATTTTAATGAAGTGCACCTGCACACGTCACGTGACATGACCTCTCAGCGGTAAATGGTAGTAAATAAAATAAACTTTTTGCAGAATCTTTTTTGTTTCTGCCACTTTTTGCACATGGAAACGTTTTCTTTCCTTTTAATTGTATTTTATTGGCATTTTGATTAAATTGAAACTCACTTTTTTCCATTTTTGGGAGCACTTTTTTTATTGACCAGGGTGTTATACAAAAAGAACTTAGATATGCAAATAAGTTGAATGAAGTCTAACTCAGTAAACATACTACAGCAGGCAGATGGTCCACTTTTGTTTATTGCCTTCTAGAATTTTAAAATCAAATAGTTCCGATCACTTTGATATTAACTATATATATTATAAAAACTTTTATATATTTTTGTTTCCCAAAAATAAAACAAAAGCCAACAGTTATCCAAAAAGCATGATACATTTAATAAAAACATTGGTCTTTATATCTGGCTCTGAAAAGTATTAAGTAGTATAAGACAATGCATTTTGTAATATTGGGTTTGTATTCTGGGTAAATTATACTGCATTAAATAACATACTGTAGAATGATACTTGTCATTGGTGTTAATGGTGTGTATGAATAAAGATGTGTTGTTTAAACACATCTTGGCTTTCGTTTGTGCAGCTTAGCCTCTGCTTCATGAAATATTCGAACATCGAGTGAATTTTGTTTGAACACAATAAACTACATATTGATAAAAAATCCCAATAACACCACAGTATTCATTTCTCACCGACTCCCAATTTATTGTTGAATTAAATAAAGTACATTTCACAGCTATAGAAGCCTACATAGTAAGCAAAAAAAAAAAAAACGAAACAAAGTCTACTCTTTAACCATGTGCTTAACTACACCTTGGGGTAGGTCAAGACGGTCGTGTCATCTGCTGACTCAAAGACAGAGTAGAAATCAGGAACGTGAAGACGTCCGGAATTTGTTGAGTTTGGAAGCATATTCCTAAGTCCTTCATAAGTTTAAAATTAAAACCAAGTGACCATGCTTTAAAAGTAAACACCTGAAGTCCTCTGTAGTGAACATTCATTTGTTTTTAAAGATACTGAATGGTAAAGTTTCTTTTTCTTCCTTCTTATTTATAGCAAACATCGAGACATAAGTCTAGAGGAACTTCTTGCTGCTGATGTTTTGGAAATTCCTCTTCAAGAACTTGTGAACGTAGCTCCATCTTTTCTCATGTAAGTGTTTGCCTGTTGTTCCACAGCCTGGCCAGGTGTTCAATGAGCTGGCACAGGCTTATGAAAGCACAGCTTGGGAGTTCTTGACGCCAAGCAGGTTGTCGGCACTGACTGATCTCCTCATGGCAGATTTACCCAGGTCTTTATACTTGTCTTCACACAGCCTGGAAATGGCCTAAAAACAAACAGCAAAGATGTTTTTATTTACCAAAAAGGACCAAAAAATACCTTTGAGGCATTTTTACAAATATAGTCAGAATAAACTGTGTATGACAGGTAATATTTTACTATTTCTTTTTTAAGGCTATTCTTTAAATCCACAATGTCAGCAGCAAAATAAAACTGTATAAAGACTTTCACTATTGTCACATAAAACTGTATAAAGACTTTCACTATTCACTTTGTTTGTTATTGGTGGGGAAAAAAGATGGCATTCAAGGTTTTCCTTCTGCTTATGCATCCTCTACTGTGGTAACCATTACATAAGGCAATTTGAGAGATCCTGGAATTATTACAACTCTTCAATTCAAACACAAAAACAACTTTTGGATTTGAATTTCAGACTCCAGGACAGTGGACCAGCTCAGACATTTCTGTATGCTGCATTTATTTGAACTCGATTTATATTTATGATAGTGAGAGAATACAGTTGTTTAATATTGTATATAGTTTTATTTAATCTTTTATTTTAATTATTTATCTAATAATTTTAGAAATAATTAGTTGAAAAAAAAACATTTGAACTCTAAGGCACCTTAAGGTTGAAAAACACTGATCCAAAACATACTCACTTCTAGTTTTTGGGCTCTCTTATTGCTGAGTGGCTCCAGTGGGAAACTGAGATTGTTGTCGTCAGCCAGTGAGCGCAGGTCAAAGTAATACTTGGCGTACACACTGGCTGGGACGTTGATGTTGAACTGCAGCAGCTCCAGGAAGTGACGCTCCATTTCATTCCTGCCAAACACAGAAGACAGCAGATAGAATTTTACACTTGTCCAGCGTGACTTATTCCTTTTAAAGGATCTGATTCTTACATGTCCTCCACAGTGATATCTTTAAGAATCTGGCAGTAATCAACGTTCCACACAGCCTGGTCATCCCACACCTTGGAGGCCAGCAAGATGGCGCCGAGAACGATGCGTTTCCAGTTGCAGGGACAAATGTCCATCTCGGCATAAGTCAGCAGCCTCTCCAGGTACACCTTTATAGGTACAGGAGCGTTCGCTCACCTTATATGGCTGCACATTTCAGGTGTGGTCAAATGTTGTTTTTACATAAAACATGTTGCTTCAAACTCACCAGAGTGACGATAGCA